GATAATACAGAAAGCGTGGAGTAAGTAGCCGTGGTCAAATACAAAATAAGTAATGGGACTATACAAACGACCATAATTGACAAACTTTACAATAAACAACAAGAAAAAAAAAGAAAAGTACAGGGGAAAAATAATATAAAACAAGCAAATAATATATGCAAGACAAATTAACAGTAATAAGGCAAAGAAACAGCAATAAGGTAAAAAGTTCCCAAAATAAAAATTGGCATTTCGGATAAACGAACGTAGCGTTCTGACATCAAGACAAGGGAAAGAGGATTGAGTTAGATGAAAACGAGAATCGGCCTATTTTATTGACTAGGAAAAAATCCCAGCATGCATTTTGTGAGCTTTTGCTTATGAATTAAGGAGGGGCAAGAAAGCAGCGCAAATGGCGAGCTATCAATTAGAGATGTTAAATTCAATCAATTATGCAAGAAATATTTGAAGAGAAAATGGAAAATATGACTGATACATTGAAAGAGCGAAATATATTTTCTAAAAAGTAAACAACATATTCAGAAACAAAAATGTATATACAACCCACAAAAAAGAGTGCTGAATTGTCATGTAATATCAGTTCCCTTATATAGCAGGGAATGCTGGACAATGTCTACACACGTTAAGAAGAGACTTGAGGCAAGAGAGACGTGTTTCTACAAATAAATGATGAGAATACACTGGACGCAATATCTCCGTTACGAAAGAGTTTTAATCAAAAATGAAAAAGAAAAGGACACATTTGGTCATGAAGATAGAGTTTAACTTGCTCGGACACAAAATGCGAAAAGAAAGCTTGGAGAATTTGATACTCAAAAGACATATTGACAGCACGAGGAGAAGAGGGATAGATACCCAAGGAATGTGTGAAAATGGACGTCATATCAGGGATATGTACGAGGGCAGTAAGAAGACAAACACTATTAAGGCACATAAAATCTATCTTTTTTTAATATATAAAGTTTGAGTTTACTTCTTCAGAAGTCGGGCGTTTATATATATATATATATATATATATATATATATATATATATATATAAGTGAACATTGAAGTTAACATTCAGACACGACAGGCTGTTTCATGATTGACGCAATCGGCAGGCCGCGAATGTTGGATTTTTCCTAGACTATTTATATATATGGGTCAGTAGTGCATTGTGGGTAATCTATTCTGGCGGTTATTTTTTGGGAGCGGCATGTTTATTTATTTGGGTTAATTTATTTTACTTGTTTTTCATTTTTATTTTGTTTTATTTATTCTTTTCGGTTTTTGATATTTTATTAACGCAGTAAAAAAATGTGGTGGGGGTGGATTTCCTTAGGTCGCTTATTTAATAGTTTGTTTTGGTCTGGGAAGATAATTAAAGCTCTTTATTCGTCCAATGTTTAGATTGCTTGCTGTAGTCCATTTTGTTAGTTTTGGCGGGATACAGTTTTAATTTATTTGTTTATTTATTTGGATTGATTATTTTCATTTTTTCTTGCTTATTTATACGTATGCGTTCTATTAGTTCTAACGGTTCTTTTGGGGGGGGATTTTTTTACTTTCTTAATATATATATATATATATATATATATATATATAATTTATTTATTTGGAATAAGTGTTATTTGCTTTTATTTATTTACTTATTTTTCATTTTGTGTATTTTATTTACTCTATTTGGTTTTCGATATATATATATATATATATATATATATATATATATATATATATATATATCAATACAATTCAACAGTATTACTAATACTATTACTAATTCTAGTATGGATTATATATATACCATTACTATTACTGATTCTAGTAAATATATATATATATATATATATATATATATATATATATATATATATATATATTACAAGAAATTAATAGTAAAGGATTAATTTCTTATGATTTCTTTTCTTTCCTCTTCCTTTTCCTTTTATTGATTTCTTATTTTTTTTACATTTTTTTAACATTTTACGGAAAAATTTTCAAACAGTCAAAAATGTAATGATGTTTCATAAATTGTAATTGCAAATAAAATCGTTAGCAACCATCATTGTTAACTACCTAATTTGAGATTGTTTATTAAACGTCGAAACAAAATGTACAACTTTGTAGTAGTAACTTACATGTACTAATGTAACAGTGTATAATATATATATATATATATATATATATATATATATATATATATATATATATATATATATATATATATATATATATATATATATATATATATATATATATATATATATGTATGTATGTATCTAAATAAAAAGAAAGAATAGTAAGATATATAATCCGGTGTTCTTATAGATATTTTTATTTTTACAAAATAGTGCTCAATGTAATTTATCAATTTACCAGACGATAATTGATACATTAAAATATAGACACCGAGACACTCCTCGTCTAGTAAATTGGATTCATCTGTATCCTTGGAAACATGAATTATGATTTTAGCTGTGTCTTTAAAACCCAGTAATTTTAAAAGTTACTCCAAAATTCGCTTGAGGATGAAATGGAAATAATGTCTTGAATTTAATTACAATATTAAATTCGGGGCATGTAGCTTCCAATTTTTGAAACATGGTTAGAACTGTGAAGCGAAAAAAAACATATTTTAAATCAATTAATTTATATATATATATATATATATATATATATATATATATATATATATATATATATATATATAAGAAGACTCAGTAATAGTATTCGTAATCGTCTCGTTTCTCACCGCCGTAATGTAGCATTCTGTGCCTTTCACAGTAAAGGTTTGGATGAACTCTTCGCTATCGTACCTAGAATCGATGAATTTCAGCACAGTAATAGATTAGAGGCAAAGTCTCATTAATATTTCACAGTTGATTGTAACTTGATGTAACTTTAAGTTCTGTGTTACCAGTTTCTTTTCTCGCACTTCTCGCTTGCGGAAATTTATCTCTGCTACATCATTTGCAAGCAACTTTGCTCTTCAGAGATTTAATTTCAAGGTTAATCGTTACCTACTGTCTTCTTAATTACTCTTCTATTGTTCCCGCTTTTTAATAAGGTTGCCCTTTTTTCTTAATCTTTCAGACTCAGAAACCGCCATTGTCTTGGTGGGTTTACTCCCTTGTATGGGGTGGAGGGTATATATATATATATATATATATATATATATATATATATATCAAAACATGTAAAATAGCTACATAATTGTATTCATGTTTCGACGCATATCAATACGTCTCCTCAGGCGATTGTAAATTACTGGCCTACAGCAATTGGGTACCGATTTTTGACATGTTTTTGATTTAATATCCTAATATAAATATTTTGCTCAACTCTGTATTAGCCCTCTTTAAATTAAATGCTACCGACGTTGTAATTGTACTCTATTCGTTCTCATCTCACCAGGATATATATATATATATATATATATATATATATATATATATATATATATATATATACGTAATTTTTTTATATTCTTATAATTTTTTGACATTTGAATGAATGTATGAAAAATAAATCTCTGTCAGTTTCTCAGTCTCTTTTTCTCTCTGTCTTTTCTCTTTGTTTTTCTCTTCATATATATATATATATATATATATATATATATATATATATATATATATATATATATATATATATATATATATATATATATGTATGTGTGTGTGTGGGGGTGTATGCATGTGTGTATATATAGTGTACGAGTTAGTTGCGAACTCTAGGCGAACGAAATGATATAAAATTAGTTTATGTTTTTCGTGGAGATGTATGAAAAACGTTCAAAGAGCGCGGGAAAATTTAGGTGACTTGACAAATGAATAGATTGGATTTGACTTCAGTTCCGTAAAACTGCCGATTTTTTTTACAACTATGACTTGACTTTTTGGACTCTGCCTAAATGTCATTCGATTGTTCTTGCTTTTTTTTTTTTTTTTTTTTAAATGACATCTCTAAGACCAAGATGAAGAATTCTATTTTATTTCGAAATTCTCTGAACTAATTTTACACGCATTAAATTTCTAGGGTTATTTTAGCTTTAGAGCTCGAAGAAATGAAGCTGGTTTCACATTTGCAGATTTGAGTAGCTGTTACTTTCTTTTCGTGAATATTCAATAGCGCATCATTTCCACTGACAAGGAAACTCAAGTTCAAATTCTTTCTTAGACCGTTTCCGTCCACTTTCGCATTCGTGGTAATGGTAATAGCACAATTAGCCATTTTCCTATAAAGAAAATTTTCGAAATGCAGTGACGAAACAGCTGGTGTGGCTATCGGTTAATATTTATAAAATCTTTCAGCTAAATAGGTCTCTCAAATCAATAAATTAGGTAAACCCATCTCTCTCTCTACGCCCGTTTGAAAATCTCTTTGTGTTCGGTGAATTCAATGTCCACCATGGCAGATGGCTTAATCATTCTGTCACTGATCTCGCTGGCATCCAAAGCCTGACCTTTTCAATCACTCAATCTCTTACGCAAGTGGTGGACAATTGCAATAACTCTGTTCAAAGGAGACACGTCTCTAACATCAGGAAACACTTTTGCAATTTGAGAGTAGACGACTAATTCATTTAGTCTCCTAATAAAGAATGATTTTATTATCCATTTGGTAGGTTGAATATGCTTCATGAAAAACAAAAGAAGTAACACCAAAAACATCATTTCTTTTTTTTTAAGTATTTCCAAAAGGCAACTTTGACTGCGAAAATATTTCTTTTACGCTTGATTAATGTTTTTCCCTGTTATACTTCCTTGCAAATATATTATACTTACATTAGAGTTGACAAATCTAAGCCTGTTCTGTGATTACTTCTTCTGCAAGAACGATGATTTTTGTCTATGGTCAAATACCAGTGGCACTAACAATATTCAAAATTTTGTCTGGAATATAACAATGATATTCAGTATTATATTTTGTTATTAGCCTTAATTATTTTAAAAGTGAAAGACTGAGGTAAAACACAAAGTGACATTGTTTTATCTTCAGGTGTCTTGCAAAAATTAATCACTGTAATTTGAAAACTTTTACAGACGCAGTGCAATCAATTCGGTTTTTCTTTACCTGTTTCGAAAAAAAAAAGACAGAAATAAAAGACAGAAAAAAAAGACAGAAAAAAACAGACATGGTTGAGCTTTCTGAATATTTTTCAAGTTGCTGTCGAAGAAATTTCCCGTGGAGTGCTAGTTCGAGGATGGGTTTTCGTGAACCCCAAATTTTTTCCACTTCAGAATAATCGGGCCACTGGAACTGACTGCGTTTTGAAAATACTTGGTAATGATTTAACTCAAACCTACAATTATATAGTTTAACTGAGTGATTCCTTTTCCTTTTTAGTTTAGCGTTTCTTTAAGGAAAATAGGATTGTTGCTTATAAGATTGTCGTGGAAACGTTCTCTAGTGAAATATTGATGCAGGATTCAAAACGTTTCTGTGCAATGCCAGATGTGAATAATTTTGAAAATCCCAGATGTAAATAATTTCGTAAATAATGTTATAATATATTTTTAATAACATCTGAAAAATTTTCTGCTCTTTCATTATCTGTTATATTATATTCTACCTTATATGTTTTAAAGTAGCTTTTAATTCACATAAATATTTATTTTTTTTACTGTGAATGGGCGGGTTGTCAAACAGCAGTGCGAAAAAAACGGAATCGGCTAACCGGGTTCAAATTCAGTCCTTGGTGTATTTCGTTTATTTTCATAATAATATCCTCGAATAAGGCCTAAAACTGTCTCTCAAATGAACAAGATTCTCTAGATTAAATAGCAGGTTAGACTGAGCTCCCTGGCCTTGGATGGAAACCAGTCTAAGAGAATGTATAGTCGGAAACTCTCAACTCTAACGAAGGCATGATGAAAGCACCCAGTTTGTCTTTTTAAAGAAGTCGTGGTAATTCATAAATAATCATAATAATCTGTTGTAGGTAGAACTTTAAGGAACACACCACAGAAAAGACCTATCAACTTTCAAGAAAAAAATCATCGTTTGTTTTATAATTCTAAGATTGATAACGGATGAAGACCACAAATGAAAGAGACATAGAAGAAAGAGACATTCTCTCCATTTGCATTTCGCCCATTATTGGCATTATTATATCCATGATATAATAACACCGTACTTTTGCAGAATGACCGAAAGGAAAATGAATGACAAATATGCATTATGCTTAGAGAGATTATTATACCGTTAAGTCATACGCAAATTTATATATATACATATTTACATTTATCCTACGCAGAGAAATTATAACAGATGTTTGAACAACAAGCAGTGTGAAAAGAGAACAAAAAGATAGGATTTTACCTAAAATATATTCCCAACGGAAATTGAGGCTGCAGGAGAGTCTTCAGTTTTTGAAGACGCCATATTTAGGATTCCAGATTCGAGCGGCCGGACTTATCTGCTATGTCCCTAGCGATGACATATTTTAAAAAACGAGGAAACAGAGAGTCTTGGATTTTCCCCAACATGAGAATTTCGAGTCGGAGATTCTATATCCGGTGAAGATATATTTCCATTGAAGAACGGCGCCATGGAATTGTCAATTGTTCTGGATAAACAAACAAGAGATTATGATGTTGATATAAAATGAGGGAACAATTCATTGTTAGCTGAAGATAGGTGGTTTCATAACTAATCAGAATTTGATGAACAAACAAGAAATTATGATGTGGATATAAAATGGGGGATCAATTTATTGCTGGCTGGAGGAGTGGTGGATTCGTAACTAATCAGAATTTGATAAAAAAACAAGAAATTATGATGTGGATATAAAATGGGGGATCAATTCATTGCTGGGTGGAGAAGAGATGGATTCATAACTAATCAAAATTTGATAAACAAACAAGAAATTATGATGTGGATATAAAGTGGGGGATCAATTCATTGCTGGCTGGAGAAGTAGTGGATTCATACTAATCAGAATTTGATAAACAAACAAGAAATTATGATGTGAATATAAAATGGGAGATCAATTCCATATTAAACATATATATAAAATGACTCCTCACTTTATGGCCACGGCAGTTTCCGTAGTTTTATATTCAAGAGAATGTAAATAAATCCAAAATGCATACATGTGTAGCTAATCAGTAATTGATTGATTCGTTTTTCTAAAGCTTATAAAATCTTTTTAGGTTATTCAAGCCAAAAATAGTTTTATATTATCCGAATCTTTATTTTTAGATGATAATGGTTTATCGATACAGGTCTTACTAAAAATCCATAGCTTGTCAGAGAATAAGTGGATTCATGCCTTTCACAAGGATATTTGCGCGTTAGTGAATATAACAAATTCGGCGGAAATTGGATTTCAGCTATATGTTTAACAATTCCGTGCCATTATCCATTACACGCATCCAAGATGACAGCACTTGGTATTCTCACGCTGTCACGCATCTAGGTAGCAACCAAGCTCTACGTTGCTTAACTTCGGTGATCTACGATGACCGGTGTCTCATCATGATGTGGTGATCAATTTGTCCGTGTAATGAATTCATATCTGATATGCTGCTCTTGATGGACGTTTCCTGCAAGATGAAAAATCCAAAGGACGGTTTGTATTCTACTGGATCTTGACCAGATATCTCGACTTCAATCATTTTCTCACCGATTTTACGTGGATTCCCTCTGTCTTTTCTACAAATATTTTCTAGTAGCATGCTTAAATTTATGTAGTCGGAGCACCAGGGGAAACAAATCTAATCTGAGAAGTTAACGCTCCGGACTTCTTCAGGTGATAATACGAACCGAAACCTGTATTTGTTCCATGGGGGTAAATTGTTCTAATTCCACACCATTCCTTTTTTTTTGCATATCTGGAGATATCGCTTTGATAACTCTCCAAGTTTTTGTCTCCTCAAATCTCTTTTGGACAAGTCACTTTTTGGATCAATAAACCACTAGGCCACCTGTTCCGAAAGACACATAGTCCAGAAGAAAGCCGAGTGTACAAGGGTTGAAATGTTGTGAAGGTGGCTGTAAAGATGAGCGCAACAGTCCGAGAAATGTAAATAGTGTAATGCGTTCAACTATTCGAGCTGAATTTCGAGGGCACATTACGTGTCTGAAAAATCATTGATATTACGAAAGTATCTCTACACACACATGTCGATTGATTGATATTTACACTTGAGAAAGCATGTCTTTTTAAGTGTGTTTTTTAATCTTTTTTTCGGGTCTGATTAAGAGACAGAAAAGAAGAGGCTTCACTCAAAGCTTCATATGATTATGATCTGATCATTGATATTTTTTTTATTTTTACCTGGTGAAAAATGAATGATGCATATCGTGTGTGAGTAATATTTCCTGCCCTGTTCAACGTAGTCTGAAATGTCGGAATAATGAATGTATTCTCAACATCTAATAAAATTTTCCTCTAGAAGAAGCCCTGTGAATTGTTATTGAGCATATTCACACAAAAGAGAAATAAAAAAATAAAAGAGAGAAAACAATTCAGCGACATGTTATCTGCGAGCTAAGATTTCTGCTAAAGCGTTTAGTCCGTTCCATCATACGGAGAGAAATCTCAACACAATACGTCAAAATGTTTATCCCAAATCAAATCTCTCTCTGTCCTACCATATTTCTGTTTTCGATATCACCAAAGCTACAGTCCAGTCTTCACCATTCTTTTCTAGATCATGACAGATTCTTTCCGCAATTATCGTCAGTATATCAGCAGTTGAACTGGCAAAACAAAAGCTATATTGCTGTCTGAAGAATAGACCTTGCAATGATAGATTCTTAACCAATTTAGCATTAATTAGGGCATCTAGGAGTTTACGAAAAATATGTAGAAGGCTAATAGGCCGATAGTTGGAAGGGTCGGACGGTTCATCCGGGTGTTCCTAAAAAAGTGGAACAATAGATGAGGACTTCTAGCAGACAAGAGGCAGCGCAGCGTTTATAACAACAGTTTAGAGAGAACAAGAGCCAGTTCGGGAGCACATTTCTTACTGATTATTAAAGAGGTATCATCATGTCCAGAGGCTTTGTGGTGTTCTAGGTTAGAAATTATAACAGAAACTATGGAAGGGGTTATATGCATATCACATACCAGACACTCAGTTCTATGTGGGATGTTAGGCAGGCATATTCCAAATGAGTCAAGAGTAGAGTTCAAGAATTTACGGCATTCAGGAATTACTTATCAAAAATTTTTTAAATAGATATATGTATCACTGCGTATTATATATATTTTTTTAAATTTCAGATATGCCATGAGTAGTAAGAAATATATAAACTCGAAGATTTTCCCAGGAAAATTCTCAGTCCATTAGTAAGTATCTACGCTGATAATGCCACACTCTATAGGTGCATCTCCAAAAATCTAGATTTCTTCATTAATGTACGTCTAACAGCTCGCTGGGGAAAAATTGGCTTGGATGATTCAGTATCTGCAAAACTAAGTTAATAACACTTTTCATCATGGAACAGACCATGAAGTTTCAATGTGGATCCTTGACTTAAGCGTCTGTTGGGACTAAAGTTCCCTCCAAATCTCAAATATAATTCATATACGGGTTTCGATTCTTTTGGCCAACTGTAGATTTATTAACGTTTATTGCCCAGTGGATATATCAAACTTGCTAAATCTTCTCTACAGAAGCCGGGTGTTCCGCTCCTTCTTTGAGCATCACGATTGTCCGGCGACTTTTAAAGTCGCTCATACACACTTTTTACGCGATAGTGCACTCTCGCCGTATTGTCTTCTGGCCAGAGAAATCGTATCACATGTCTTTGCTCGTCCTTGGTGCACACTGCTAGCGGAGCGGCCATGTTTACAAAGAAACGGCAGTAAGAAATCTGGCGTGATTAAGCTAAAACTTCGATCAAGTGAACTCAATAATATCAACTATGAGCATGCATGAGGAGAAAGCAGTGTAACAATATGTTAGGGCGAAAGTGCGGATAATTTTTGACCTCGCACACAAACACACGCGCACACGTATATATATATATATATATATATATATATATATATATATATATATATATATATATATATATATATATATATATATATATATATATATATATATATAAACTTAAGATATGAAAAACTTGGTAATCCGTATGGGTAGTCCCAAGGACTAAATAAGTCATGGTCTGGTCCT